GGTACATACCTTGAGCGATAATAAGAAAAACAGAGGAGTACACGCTGTATGATATACTTATTTGAGACCCGCCATTTAGGAAATATATCCACTCCTGAAGAAGAAGCAGAGCAAATTATCAACCAAATCAACAACTAGAGGATAAAAAAAGGACTACAAACTATGAGAAAACGAAAAGAACACTCCATAGAAAGCATTTTAAGCAAACTTGCCTGATGAGAATCAGCTGGAACGGAGACAGTATGCGTTTCTGACCAAGTTGTCTCAGTATCAAGAGGAGGAGTATGATAGAAACCATATAGTACAGGACCAGGACTTGATATATTCAGCTCTTCTACCTAATAAATACCCACCTAGATTACCAGACAGAATCATATAGGTAAAATGGAAAATGGTAGAGCTAGTGCCAAAAATACCTTTACAGACTGCACAAATATGGAGTTAGGTTGCAGAAGAATTGAACTATTAGGGCCTAGCTCTAAACTTGAAGACCCATACACTCCCAAAATCAAAGTCATCGAAACTGCAACATCCAATCAGCAGCTTAATTACTAATAATAATCGAAGAGAAAATAACAATTATGTTAAAAACAGAGTTAATTTGAAAATTAGATATAGATACAAACCAAAGAACCAGAAGGTGAGGAGGACGATGATGCAGGACCAAGTGTCGTCCCGAATGATTGTTGACACCTCATCGAATGGCGATAGGTTTGCTCCATAAGAAGTGCCGATTTCGTGGGTTTCTACCTCCGGATGCCGAAAATCGGTGTGCTGCTGATACTGATTGTGATCGTCCTCCTCTTCGCGGACCTGCGAAGCGCTCGAAGACGACGTCGCAGCAGCACCTGAAGTGTCCCTACTGATGAAAGCACCGTGAGAAGAAGATGAGGAGGAGGAAGAAGAAGATGGTTCTTCCATTGTAGAGAAACCAGAAAAGCTCGGGACGCAAAGAGAGGGAGAAATTGGAGAAAGTAATTTCAGAAACCCTAACCCTAAACCAGGGTGAAGGGTAACGCACCTGAGAGGGTCTGAGGAAGAAGGTCCATGGGGAAGCGGGTGAGTAACCGATCCACTCACCAGTCAGTCTTTCTTCTCCGTAGGAATGGTAGTTGCCAAAGAGTGACGGTTTTTTAAAACACTTATGTTAGCTGTAGCTCCAGCC